CTTCAGCCGGCAGCTGGATCCCACCCAAGCACCTGCCTGCTGCCCTGCATGGGCTGCTGCCGCCCAAGCGAAGCAGGGCTGGGAGCAGTGATACAGAAACCCTTGAGTGTTAGTGCTTATTGCGGGTTACGGCTCACATCATCTCCGCAGCGGAGAGAGAACCCCCTTGCGTCCCACCCCAGCGATGTGCTTGGATGGGGTGGCAGCCCTAGAGCTGCCCCCATGCTGGGTGCTGGGTGAGGGAGGTCCCCGGGAGCTGTGCGCTGCCCTGATGGGTACCAAGCTGCTCGCTGGTGCACCCGTGGGTGCAGCGCTGTGGGGTCCAGCATGCCCGGGGCATCTCACAGAATCACAGAATAGTAGGGGTTGGAAGGGACCTCTGTGGGTCATCTAGTCCAACCCCCCTGCCGAAGCAGGGTCTTGAATATCTCTAGAGAAGGAGACTCCACAACCTCCCTGGGCAGCCTGTGCCAGTGCTCCGTCACCCTCAGAGGGAATTGTAAGCGTATATTAGGTCCCCTCGCAGCCTTCTCTTCTTCAGGCTGAACAAGCCCAGCTCCCTCAGCCTCTCCTCGTAGGGGAGATGTTCCAGTCCCCTCATCGTCCTTGTAGCCCTCCGCTGGACTCTCTCCAGTAGCTCTTCATCTTTCTTGAACCGGGGAACCCAGAACTGGACACAGTACTCCAGATGGGGCATCACCAGGGCAGAGTAGAGGGGAAGAAGAACCTCCCTCGTCCTGCTGGCCACACTCTTCTTGATGCACCCCAGGATTCCATTGGCTTTCTTGGCAGGAATAAGGTCCTTCTGCTTCACAGCAGGAGTTTCTGAGGCTGGCCCCTGCTGCTACAGCTCTGTGCCCACCAAGACGGTCATGTTGCCCACCCACCACCAGCCATCCCCAAGATGCATGCCACAGGGCAGCACTTCAGAAGTGGCTCGGTCGTCCAGTGGATCTCAGTTCATAAATAATTCACCCTTTCTTTTTTGCTAACAGAAGTTCAGCATCTCAGCTTGCTGCAGAGGACAAATGGAGACTTCGGTTGGGCAGTGGCTTTCTACGTTTGGGTGGTTAGTATAGAAATTGCATATAGGCTGGGCCACTTTCCAAGTACATTTTGAACTGAGCAATGACATGTGCCAAAGGACCAGAGCCAAAAAGCTGGCACTTTCATCTGCTTTCCCTTGCTCCTGCCAACCTGTACTCCAGGGCCATTAATACAGCAAGCTCAGAGTCCCATTAGTCATTTCCCATCCCTGATACTGGTAAATGACTTATCTCCTCGGTCATCGTTATCAAGTGTAACGACAACTGAGACACACTCATCAATTTTCTCATCAAAGTCAGTAAAAAAAAAGAGGAAAGACCCCACACGACTCTCAACCCACAGTCACCACGTTTGCAACCCCAGCGTTGCATCACTAAGATGAAACCCTGCTGCCCCAATGTGCAAGTGAAAACGAAGCTAAGCTCCAAAATACAAAAGAAAAAGCCAGCAAAGGCCTGAGAGGTGGCTTTTGAAGCGGGTGGCTTTGAACCAGCCTCCGACACTTGCCGTCTCTGCTCCATTCATGAGCATGGGGCTGAGATGAGTGACAGCAGCAGTGTGACGGGCATGTCACCATCATCAGCGCAGGAAAAATGCAGCACTTCTTCTTTGAACCCAGGTGAGCAATGCTCATTTAATTCGCAGCATCAACATATTTGAATTCCTTGCTCAGGAAGGACGGTGCCACCATCCCCATCATGCAATGCCGAGAGGTCCCTTCCAACCCCTACTATTCTGTGATTCTGTGATTCTGTGATTCTGTGACAGGCCTCTTCTTGCACTTCATGTTTGTGGAGATGAGGTGACTCCATCCCCTGGCTTGTGTTATGTCACCTTGCATTTTAATTTCAGGGCTGGTGCTACCAGTGTTTGGGTGGTCCTGGAGGGTGAAGGGTCAGCGGCTGGGACACTGTGTGTGCTGGGGGGGCTCTCATTTTCCTGCCACGCTCACGCTCACGTGGACAGCTTCCTCTGGGCTTGGGAAGTCCAGCCAGCCCGGGGTTTTGGCCTCGGTGGTGGAGGGGGATCTCCAGCGGTAGCTGGAGAAACTGTGTCTTTGCCAGAGAGCCCAGGGTCTCCAGAGCCCTGCACAGATGCTGCAGGCATGGGGCTGGTTTCGCACGAGGTGTTTTCTCCCTCCTCTTCCCGTGGGCAGGACTGATGCTGTGTGCTGCTGACCCTGCATCTGCTCCACACCCTTTCTAGACCCTGCTGACCTGGACCCTCCCAGGCACAGGAGGACCTGGTCTCGGTTGGTCACTGGACCAGCATTTGCGCATCTGTGTGCACACGCGTGTGTGTACCTCCAACCCGCCGAGCCCCCCTCATCGCTGCTCTCCCCTCACTGAACTCAGCCAGGCTGTGTGAACACTTACCAGGTTTTCCTTGCCTTGCTTTGTGCAGAAAGCGTGCACAAAACTCTCTTGCGTGAGTGATGCAGCTTACAAATATAGGCACACATTTGTCCAAGTGCATCTCCCCCAAGCTAATTTGTAGAGATCTGAATGAACAAGCCCCTGGACAGCAAACCTCATTGTGTCCTGCACAGCCACCGCAGGGCATTTGGGAAGCTGCGACCCACAGACGTAGTCGAAGTGTTTGTTAACTCTGTAGGGGAAAGAGCTGCCGGTCAGGCAGGGGTCAGAGCAGGGACTTCCCAACCTGGTAGTCTTGAGCCAGCTACAACACTCACAAACGCCAGCTTGTGCAGCCTGGGAAAGCAAACAGAGAGCAGCCAGCCATGGGCTTGTGGTGTCACCCATCCCTGTCACCAGCAGCTGCTGTCTGGTTTTAGTTGCTCCACCCAGAGGTCTCTGCAGCTATGGGCCCGAGTACCCACAGGCAACTGCTGTGAAGAGCTGGTACCCTGTGTTGGTGAAACGACCATCTGCACCCCATCCAAAGCCCCACGCTGAGCAGCTCAGCTGGACCCCAGCAGCCGGCTGGCCCCCCTCCCTGCTCAACCCCGTCCTACACCGCGGGCTGCAGGGTGGCAACCTGCAAAGCGGGCAAGCGGCAGCGGCGAGGGGCTCCAGCCTGAGATGGCCCAGCGGGCTTGGAAGAAGGGACTTGGCCAGCAGCACTGGCAGCACCTGCCCTGAGTACTGGTGGTAGATGAATGGCCCAAAGTGTCCCACTGCCCATTCCTGCGTAGGCTCACAGGAAAACAAACCAGTGCATTTCTGAAGTGAGGCATCATGTGTAAGAAGCTGGTAGCATAGACCTTGCCCAGCTCAAAGGAGGCCAAGTCCTGAGCCTCATAACGTTATCAGACATGGCTTTTATATCTCCAGCTAAAGGGCACATTGCCATTCTTATCCTGGCAGACCTTTCAGCCTCTTTCAGTGCTTCAGTATTGGAAAAATTGGCTTTACTCTAGAGTAATAGACATTCAGAGGATGTGATGGCGTGGTTTCCAGTTAGGCACTACACATGCCATGGTCTCATGGCATAGCATCCATAGGCAAAGGCTTCTTCCTTGCCAGTGGGGAGACTCCATACCCTCAGGGCAGATGTTGCCCAGACCTCAGATGTTCACCTCTTTACCCCCTCTTCTCCAGCCCAGCGTATGACATTGCTGGACCTGAAGTAGGGGATGCACAGGAGCACTGCAACGCTCTCCTCAGTGGCAGCCACCCTCTGCTCTCCACCCTGGCTTCTCACGCTTCCTGAGCCAAGAGGAGGACCTGGCTTATGGCCTTCAAAGCACCACACCACCAAGGACCTGAAGTTCTAAACAGCTGCCTACAGCATGGGGCTGAGGAGCTCTTTGCCATGTCCATCCTCTGCCCCAAGGCAGTCCCTGTGTGGGACAGATCATCCTCAGGCAAGACTGTCCCAAGGACAGAGAGCTATCACAGCCACCCACAGCAGTCGTTTATAAGTCTTGCTTTCTCCAGCCTACATACCTATTTAAAGACCAGTTAAATAGATGAAACCTTAAAATCCCTGCTTCTGCCTGAGCACAGGACCCAGTGCATCGGCATAACACAGTCCTGGAGGGCTTCCAACTGCTATCTGGAGATGATGCTAAAACCCTGGCTGGGCCGAGAATGAATCCTTGAACACCACTCACTCCTTGACATGTGAAAATACTGGGGGAAGCCCTGACTTTCCCTGTAGCAATTTTTAAGCAGAACCTAAGACGGGCTGGGCTGAATAACCCGTGTGCTGTGAACAAGTCGCCTGACTCAGGTGTTTGCCAGGGCCTGTCCTGGAGTCAGACGACTGGTGACCTGGGTGTCCACAGCTCCTTGCTGAAAGGGTCCCCATGGCAGAGCTGCGCCTGTTGAGGTTCATCCTCAAGCCCTGGAGCACAAGTCTGACAGGGCTGAAGCCAGGCAAGCGTTGTGACCCCGACTACCTGCCGGTGATGCCCTACCCAACAAGAAGAGGGTCTAGATATGGCAAGCTGTGCCAAATGCTGCTGTGTGCCTTCCTTAGCTGGTGCTGAGTGCAAGTCCACTAGCTGACACCTCATCAAGCGTGGCTTGGGCCCCTAAGCTGTTTTTCTGTGGGGCAAGTGCAGTCCCTGGAGGCAGGATCACATTAAGCAAGGGAACCTCTGGGCAGTTGCAGAGTAAGGTTGGGTTTTTCACGGCATGCTAATGTATAGAGCCATTCCTGTGCTGGTGGGAGTGGGTGTGTGAGAGGAGGCAGGAGCTGTCAAAAAAGCTCATTTTGCTTTTTCCTTGTTCTTTCTTCTCTGAACGCTTCATGCTTTTCTGTGTTACTGGAAGTTGATGTCAAAATGCCTCTCCCCATCTGTAAAAATGGGAGCTGATACTTTCCCATTAACGTGGGGCATGGCGAGGGTAACTCCTAATGACTGTAAAGTGCCTCGGAGACAGCAAGTGTAATAGGCAGCCTAATAATTAGCACTGTTATTTGATTACAAGCCTGAGTGGCTGGCAGTGGGACCGCACAGTAATACTCTGACTCCTTTCGTCTAGTACCTGCCCCTGAACGGAGAATTCGTGCTGGCGTCTGGTGCGGGATTCGCAGCTTTCAATGGCAGCTGGGATCCAGGCTGTGACTCAGGTATTTTGTGCCCAGACCGGTCATTCCATCAGCCCGTGATTAATCATACAAATTCAGCCCAAACACTTCTACAAAGGCCTTTGCTGTCCCACCTCGGAGCAAAGTGAATCACTCCGCTTTTAATACCTTCCTTTTCTTTGATGACCTCCCTCACATCAGATCTTTTTTTCCTGCTAGATCACCTGTCTTCTAAAAAAGTAATTATAGAAGGGAAGCCTTTGAAGTTGCAGCAGAGAGGCAAATATTGTTTGTATTTTACCCTGCTATTAAGCATGCAGCCACATCAAAGCCCTCATTTTCTTTGCCATGGTATTTCTAAAGAAAACTGGTTAGGGATTACACACCGGTGAGCTGAGCCGCAGCCATCGCGGCGAGCTGGCCTTTGGCCCGATGTGCACAGGCATTTCGGCGCCAGCGCATCCTTCCCTCCCCTCTCAGCCTCCAGCCCAGGTTTGCCGTGACTGAGGCCGGAGGTTCGTTTCATCGGTGCCTGTTATTAGTCTGAGAGCTGTTTGCTCGGGAGATGTATTTTTGGTATTTAAGAGCTACCTAATGCTTTCAGTGGCACGTAACATTTTAGTTCGGCCCCGGGAAAGGGCGAGTCCAGGCAGCGCGCCTGTGCCTGAGCTCTGACTGGCAAAAAAAAGACAAAAGAGAGAAAAAGCCCCAATGGGTCAGCCCGGAGGAAGGATGGTAGCATCAGGCTGTTTGGAGCTGCTCCAAAATCCTCCAACCCCATCATTTTTCCCCTTTGGGACTGTGTGCCCCCCATTAGGGATGCTCTGGCAGCTGTGCTTTGCACTGGGCTTTTCCTTCTGACCACAAGCTGCTCCCCTGAAGTCAACAGGCGTTTCTGGGGCAACTTTCACAAGTGGATTTTTTTAAAGCATTTTTTTAAAATGAGTGCAAATAATTCAGTCAATAAACGCCTGCATGCCAGCTGAACAGGTGAAGATTCAGCTATCGGGGAAGGGTGAGAAGGAAGCAGGGCACTGTGTGATGATGCTGACTGTGACCAGCAGGGAAATGCTTAATGGCTAAATAATTAGTAGTTAAATTAGGCACTGGTTTTGGGGTTACCTGCTGCAAGGAACAGGGCCAGTGATGTTTCTGCAGGCTTGCCAGGCTTCTTGGAAGCTGGGACATGAATTGTCGTACCCATTTTTATCTGCTTCAGCTGTTATTCAGCATTTTGGCAGCCGTTTTCCTCCCTAACCCTAACGGTGAGCTTTAAAGAAGTGGGGGAAAAATGTCCTGTGGGATCTGGGGCTGGATGCCTGCAGCCAGAAGTGGGGTCCAGGCTGAGCTGTCGAGACCCCAGCCCTGAGCACTGGAAAGATTTGCCAAGTGCCGGAGAGCTTTGCCGAGCTCCAGGAGGTGTCTGCAGCGGCTGCCTGGGAGGGTGATGCCACAGCCAGCCCTCAGCTCCCTGCCCGTGGGGTGAGCTCTCCTGCTTCGGGCCAGACAGTGCCTGGTTCGACCAACACAGAAACATCCACTGGGGCTGCGGATTTGGGTCCGGGTCGTGGTCAGCCTCTCCTGCTGCTTTTCCAGATGTGACAGTGAGGTTTGCGGACGGCGAGCACTCTTCATTCGTGGTTCGACCCCTCGCTGTGGCAGGCCATGAACCCCAGCAGGGAGCTCGAACCAAGCGGGCGCATCTTTTCTGTGGATGAGGAACGTGTCCCATGCCGCTACGACGATGTTATCTTCCAGCCCGAAACCTCCTTCCGGGTAAACGTTGACTCATCGCAGCAAGTGATTCATCTCCGCAGCATCTCACTCATGGGCCAGGTAAGGCGAAGATGATGAGAAACTGGCTCGACGACTCCTTGCCACAGCCCGAAGTAGGTCAGGAGAGGAGGGACCAGCCGGGGATGGAGGAGCTCCGTGGGGAGATCGGGCACTCCCATGGTGCTGCAGCTTCATGGGCTGCTGCTGCTGTGGATGGTCTTGAGGATTTTTTTTTCCTCTACCAGTTCATTTTTGCCTCCCTCCCTGCGGCGTGGGAGCACAGGCCGTCTCTGTAGTCACACTCAAAAACAAAAAGGCCAACGTGAACGGGTCAAACTAGCAGCAAATGGCATCTTCTCCGGCACCCAGGGGCTGCCCCCTTCACAGCCACGTGTCTGCAACCGCCTGCTCACGGACCCTGTGGGGACACTTCCCTCCCACCCCCAACCCTAACGTGTCCCATGGCCCGGCGATCGCCTCCCAGCTTTGATTCAGTACTGCTCTTGAATCGATTGGAGGGACAATTATAGAAACGCTGGCAGCCTGCTGTGCTGCAGCCCTGGAATCAGGCACACGACGAGCCCCATCCCTCGCCAGTCGGAGGAGCGAAAGATCAGAGGCGCTGCAGCAGGAAGCACAGGCTCCTTCCAGGAGTGGGAGAGGTGGCAGACATCAGTTATTTATTATTTCTACCACTGTGCTGCCTGGGATCTGGCATTTTGGGGCCAAGCATTGGGTAACCGGTTTTTGAGTAATAACCGCCGTTGATATCCAGGCGGGTGAAGCAAGCAAGTCTGGACAAGGCAGGACCCCGATGGAGCCTACCTAGGGCACATGTAGCCCCAGGAATGCAGAGGTGGGAGGTCCTGGATGCTCAGGGCGATGCCTGGGGACTACCCCACAGCACATCATTGTCCCCAGATCCACCCCCCAGGGACTGTCTGTGCCCCGGGGCAGGGGCTGCTGCTGAGCAATGTGATGGAAAGACAAGGTGCTAGTTATTTTCGTGATTAAAGCATATTTCCTAAAAAATGTCCTTATAAGCTACTTTGCCCTTTGTAGCCAGCCTGCTCCTTGCAGGTATTTTCACCCCAGGGCCTGAGAAATCCTCCTGCTATGCCAGGGCATGGAGAAGCCTTCTACGGAAGGCAACGGGTGAGCGACTTGGTATCGGCTTGGTAGGACGAGGCTGGTCTGTCCAGCTCAGCCTTGGCTAGTGCTGAGCCCACGGAAATGCTTCCTGGATTGAAGGAAACCACCTCAGATCCAACCCCTTCCTCCCAGATTTAAAAGCTGATACATTGAATTGTCTGGTCCAGCAGTCAGAGGGAAAACAATAAGAAAAAAAGCCCAGCCACTTCATGATTTGTCTACGGTCCTTTTTTGTTGTTTTAAATTAGAAAAAGCTTTTCTGTTGGCCCCGTGGAAAAGCCCAGATGAGTGTATTGGCAGGATTTTCCCGCTGCACTCACCGCCTGTGGTGGGGCTGGCCGTCAGACGTGGCACTGGCCGTCTGGGTGGCACGGCCGGGCACTCAGGGACACCGCTGGGACCTGTCTGGGGATGCTCACCTGATTTGCTGCTCTTCCCCGTGCAGGAGTTCAGCAGCCCTGAGGCCTGGGCCACGTACCTGCAGGGTCTCTCTGCCCCGCTGCAGTTCCACGGCAATGGCACTCTCCAGGTGATGGGCACCGGCTGTGCCGACAAGTCTGGCTGTGCCTGCGGGAATACCCCGGTGAGTCCCCCTGGTGCTGTTTTGGGGGGTGCCGCTGCAGTCTGCAGGGCTAGGGACTGACGCTGCCCTGCTCTCCTTTAGGACGGCCACCGCATCTGCGCAGCCCTGCTGAGGACATCGGGGGGGCAGTGCCCAACGCCAACGGGCCGGAGCCCGCTCCAATGGGCTGAAGCTTCACTGTATCACTGCTCCCAAGGGTCCCATCCGCATCCCATGTGCCACCCTCCCAGGGCACGGCATCTCTCTGAAGCATCACGCTGGCTTTTGGGAGCCTGTTCTGAGCTGCAGCCCTTTGTCCCTGCCTCTAGTTTATCCTGTCAGGATGTCACAGCTCGTCAAGCTAATAGGGCTCTGCTGAGTTTATGCAGCGGAAAGCACTCGGAGGAAATTCACCCTTTTCACCATAATGTCAGCTTTCCAACAGCAAGTTTGTTTCATTTCATTTAGAATAAAAACATGCAGATTGACAACATTCCCTGTGCAATGGGCGCTTCTCCACTGCTCTGCCGGGAAGGTTGCTGAGGGGAATTTCTCATGCACAGCTGTACCTAGGTATTTGGTACATCATACTGGGTAGACCATACCAAATTCATTAAAACGGCACCATAGGTTTCTCCGACCTGCTCCTAAAAGCAGAGCCCCTTAAAGCCTTTAGGAGAATTTCATATTTCAACAAATGCCTACTTGCATTTTTCCCAAGGAAAATATCTGACCCAAGGAATGCACTACAGCGGTCCGGGGAGTGCAGGTGTCCCCTCCTCTCTGCCATCCCTCCAAAGCCAGGGCAGTGTTGCTCAGTCACAGCCTTGCAGCCCCAAAACCCAGGTACATGCAGAGCTTCCCGGGCAGATAAGCAAGAGAAGGCTTTCCCGGGGAAACTTTTCTCTGGAATGTGGTGGAAATCAAAAGCCTTTCACCAGACTCAGTGGATAAAAAGACCAGTAAGGCAAGGAGAGGTTTCTAGGGGCAGGGCTGCGGAGATGCCTCTCCTCAGTCCAGCCAGACCAGTCATAAAATCATAGAATCATTATGGTTGGAAAAGACCTCTAAGATCATCAAGTCCAACTGTCAACCCAACACCACCATGCCTGCTAAACCATGTCCTGAGTTGCACAGAGGTACTGGAGGGTCTCCAGCAGCTTTTCTGGCAGTTGGAGTCGTGCTGCTGCGGCATGGCTGACAATGTCGTGTCTGTCTGGTTTTGGACTCCAGGAGCCACCATTAGCCTGGATTTCACTCCTGATTTTGACCTGCAGAAGTATCAGGACAGATTGGTCCAAGACTTGCTGAGCCAGGTATGTCAGCCTGCTGTATCAGTAGGGTCTAATGAACCCGTAAGTCACCGGCCAGGTCTGCTGGCGGCTCGATGCTGGTGGGGCTGTCTGAGGGCATGCAGTCCCAGTGAAGTGGGGGGTTCAGCCTCTCCCCCCCCCACCCCCCCGGGGGTCACCCCCCCATTTTGCCTCCTTGGT